GGACTTACCACTGCTACTACTTCTTATCAAAATTACAAGGCAGATAATTCCAGTATTACATCATCCTCATTTAAGGAGAACCCACAAACATTTGCGTTTTCCCTGTATAAAAAAATGGAATCTTGGGCCAGCAGGTCAAGGGCCACCTACTAGCAAGTCCGAAGACCTGAGTTCAAATCCCCAAGACCTGAGTTCAATCCCCAATACCCACATGATGGAAGAAGAAAGAGCCAACTCCTGTGAGTTGTCTTCTAAATTCCATGTGTGCACCATGGCAGGTGTCTTTATTCACACATAATAGATAAATAAATATAAAAAGAACGTGACTATACTCATTAAAGTCACTGTCCCTTTGCACATCCATACTGCCCCTTGAATATGAAATTTACTAATGTTTCTAATGCACCACATATGGGCCTCTGACCAACAGCCGGACAGAACTACCAAGTACACTGCCTTAATTTGCTTTCGTTTGCTGTGATAAAGACACATTACTAAAGGCAATGTGGGTAGGAAAGGGTTTATTTGGTTTACTCTTCCACATCACAGCCCATCATTCAGGGAAGCTAAGACAGGAACACAAGAACAGAAAACTGGAGGCAGAAAACCAGGTAAAGACCACAAAGGGACTTCATCACTGGCTTGTTCATCACACTTTCTTATGCTTTGGAGGGCCACCTGCCCAGGGGTAAAATTGCCTGCACAGCAAACTGGACCCTCTTCTTGACAATGTGTAATCAAGAAAATGCCCCACAGGCAATATGACTGAGGTATTCTCTCAATTGAGGTTCCTCTTCCCATTTAACCTCAACCTGTGTTACAGTGACAAAAACCTAGTCGAGACCTATATCTAGTAGATATTTTAATCATAACCAACAACCCAATGAAACTCTAAATGGCCACAGAATGAACTAGAATCATTTTATCACTTAAAAAGAAAGACTCAGGTGCACCTGTCTTGAGTCAAAAAAAAAAATTAAAATAGTCCGTCACAGCAAAGCTAAACTTAAACTGCAATTTTTATCTTTAGTTCACAAATGCTTTTTAAAATAAGCCTACTATGCATCCCTAAATCAGAAGAGTCCATAAACAGTGATTAACTAAAACCTACAAGTTTTACATCAGATAGTCACCAAGAGTCTCTACTCTGCACCTACGGATGGGTCCTCAGTCTAAGCAAACGCCGTCTTGGGCACAGCTGTATCTAGGAATCTGAGCCACACACTGATTATTTAGTACTAGCTGGAGAAAAATGCCAGACTGACAGGCTGACATTTGAGAGAACTATAGTTTGATAGAATCTGCTAAAATGATGGTTTAAAATGATAAGGAAACCTCCAAAGTTTCTCTAATGTAGCATGAATGGTGGCTACTCTTTGATCTCTGCTATTTGTGGGTCAGATTTGTTTTCATGGCTGTAGGTCTGATACACACACAAGCATACTTCATATTTAACTGCATATATGAATATATGTGATATGAATATGCTATGTTTTTTATTCATAACAGTCTTATATAAAGTTGTACTAAATTGAAAAGAAAAAGAAAAACCAGTAGTTGACATAAAAATCTAGCCAAAGAATAGAATAGTAAGAGTCTGGAAGCCAAAATACCTACATAAAGCAAGAACAAACAAACAAAACCCAGCACATTTTTACTGGGCACTTTTAATACTACTCTATAATGGTCATCATTTCATAGAGTTGAGAAGTACACCAACTCCTATTTATGAAAAATAACATTCTATGATAAATTTATACTTTCCAAAAGAAATAACCCAAGCTTAAAGAACAGAACACAAAAACAATGAAAAGCTGCAGTAGATGAACCCCATGGTAAACCTGCTGTTGATAGAAACAAGGTAGCCAACTGAACTTTGAAACCAGAGACAGAACTAATATGACACATAGGAAGACTCAAAAAGAACAAATTAATATACAATGACGCAAGCAAGAATACCCACTAACACTTAGTAGAAAACTGCCAGGACAGAAGAATGAGGTCTTTGTTACAATGTGTGTTATAACTAGAAAAATAAAGATATTAAGTTTCTACTTGGGCTAGAAGATGAAATGCACCCAGCAGTGCAAATAAAGCCTCTGGAAAGGCATTCAACACATTGCTAAGGGTTCCTTTCCTTAATGCGCTTTCCTGACTACACAGTGTTCCGTATAACTAGCAGCAGTTTGGTTAAAAACAGCTTGCATTTTCAACTTCCCGTAATAAAGGCCACATTTTTTTTAGAAATGATCAGATTAAAATAAATATGTCTTTACAGTTACAGGATGAAAATTTAAGCTGGACAGGCACCAATGCCCTGGTTCTCTACTCTTTTTTGTAAACCATATGACTTCCACATGCTGAGAATGTTTTATGCTTTAGCCTGCAGTAAAGGCTTTACATCATTTTAATGCCCCAGTGCTCAAAATGCAACAGAATCAGCCCAATGAGTGCAAGGACTATTTCCTGGTGTACACGGAGCCATTTTTTATTTTATTTTATTTTATTTTATTACCATTTTTACCATTTTCTGACTAGTAGTCAAAAAAAGTTTAACAAATGCTTTTCCCATAAATAACTTCACATTTCCATTGGAGAATATAAACAAAAAGATTTCAGGAAATGGTAGATGAAAAAATACTTATTTTTCTAGATTGGAGCATTTCAGTTTGACGTATCTAAAATGATTATTAAACAATTAAAAATTCCATGACTATTAGAATACATTTCAGAAAAACACAAGTAAGCAACTATTATATTGTTACATGAAATTTTCTTCCAGTTTTTGAAAATTAATGTTTCAGGTTAAGATAAAGCTTAAAACAAGTAATTCTGAAAATCCTGGTCTTCAACAAACCAAAGGCTCAGCTTGGAACAGCACATTCTGTATCGGAAATTCTATTCAGGTCAATTTAAATACATAATGCTCGATTTCATGCTAACAGTTCCCTTATCTGCGTGAATGATCGACAGCAGAAATTTCAAACCAAAGGCTAATTCCACCAGACAATCCCAATGTATTTGTGTGACTTTCAGATGCTATGGAATCTACAAGCCCCTTTCTGATAGATGGAACATTCAAGAACTGATACATTTTGATCAAATATATAAATACGTTAAATTCTCAAGTTAAAATAGAAGTGATGCCAATTACTCTTGGTTATTTAAAAGTCTGTGCTAGCACAAAATTATCACAGAGAGTGACTGAAGGAGTTGTATTTTGGACTGAGGGAGTACAAAATGCATGATCTTAAATTCTCCTGGTGTAATGTCATTAAATATTCAAGACTGTGAGAAACAAGAGATGTTTCATTCCAACTCTAATTGAAAATTGAAAAATAATTTCAGATTTCTTTAACTTGACTTATAAGCATAATTCAACCAGATCTAGCAACTTAGTTGTGCAATTTTAGTAAGTTTAATGCAAAACACTGCAAGCCTGGTGTGATAATTACTTGTGGCATTAATGCAAAAAAAAAAAACCAACAAATTCGGGTTCTTTTCACTTAATGATGCATTTTATAGTGCAACCACAAAAAGCACGACCCATATTAGCACAAACTAAGCAAAAAAAAAAAAAGCACAGGAGGTATTATGTCCATCAGGAAGAGAAATGTTCTGTGCCAAGGAAGGAAGGGGGGGGGAGGAGAGGAAGGAAGGGAGGGAAAGATAGGAAAGGAGAAGGCAAAGAGTTCCATTATCTGTAGGTCCCCAGAAAAAGGAGCACGTGACTATACCCTCTATAACACACGAGGTCTTTTCTTAAAGCTTCAGACAAAATAGCAATCACTTTTATCATTCAACTTTACATAGCGTGTATCCGTCCTGCTAAGTGCATTCTCTGCTTCGCTCACCCAATGCTCCCTCACTCTTCCATACCAGTTTCCAAGCAAATGTTAAGACAGAGCAGGGTGGGGTAGACGAAAAATCCACGCAGCGCCTTTCAGCGCACCATCAAGCCTCTTCCCCGAAAATAATTTCCAACAGTTTTTTCAACTACGAAAATAAGTCGCCCTGTCTACCTCAGGGCACACAGCAGACACTCGCCTCATTAGTAGACACACATGTATATGCCATTTAGCCCTCCAGACTCCCAACCCCACGTCCCGGAATTTTAAATAACTGGCAAGTCACTGAGCATGAAGATGACAGGCTACCTTTACTTACTGTTTCGGGGTGAAGGTGGGCGGAGGACTCCTTTCAAAGTAGCCCCAATAGTGTAACCAAAACACGGTTCCGGAATAAAATCTTAAGAGACACTTCCTTTCCCACCTTTAGCTGCCGACTTGGGGAGGCAAAGATGCATCTCCCCAACACATCATCGGTACAGTCCTCCTGCCGGGAGTTTGGGGTGGAGACTGGCCCAGATGAGGGCACCGAGTGTGAGCTGGCCCCCCAGACACGAACGAGTTACTGACCCGTCCCCGCCCCCCCCCAAAAAAAAACCCTGCACAAGGTCCGGAGAGCCAAAGTCCAGCCCCGGACTCACGCGTGCTTCCCAAGCCCAGGCCGCTTATCTTCGACTCCGGCTATCTAACTTACCATCTACAGACATTCCTTCGAGACGAGCCCAGCACCCAAGTACACGTCACAGTTTAAAACACAGCGAGACACTCCCCAAACAAACCAGCACACCTCGAAGCCACCTCACAGTTTCTCAAACTCGCAAGCAGGAAGACCCCACCTCCAGAATTCAAACCTTCCGCCGGTCCTGGAGACCGAGGAGAAGTTAGGGAGCCGTCCTCGCCTCTCTACGCCCGCCCCTCACAAACTGCCCCACCCCACAACCCGCGCACCACCGCCCCCTGGGGAGCCTCCCCCCCACCTCCGCTTGCCCGCTCCCCCCCTCCCCAAGCCTGGCCACTCCAGAGACCCATCTGTGGCGCCTACTCACTTTCTCTCCCCCAAAACCCCTCCGAAACATTTTTCTCCCCCTTAAAGTAATGCAAGAAGTGAGGAAAGAGACTTAAGGCAGTCCGATCGCAAACGACCCCACTCACCTCGGAAGCACAGCTGAGTTCTCTGCACCAGGCTCAGCCCCCTCCCCAGCGTCCCAGAGCAAGGCTGAGGGAGGGAGGAGGAAGACGGGAGGGGGAGGGGATCTTCACCGCGGGGCGCCCTGCGGGAGGGGCTGAGGAGGGCTCCAGGCCCGCGCAGGAAGAGCAGCGGGGGGAGGGGAGCCCCCTATCTCCCAGTCTCCCCCTGAAAACCTCCCTTGTCTCAATCACATCAGACTGACTGTCTTTGTCTGGCTGACAACCGCCATATTGATAGCAACAGCCCCGCTCCCACCTGCTGCCGCCGGGCATCCCTGGGAGTTGTAGTTTTCGGCTCCCTAGAGAAAAAGCGTAGAGCTCAGGGTCTGAGGCCCCAGGGAACTACAGCTTCCAGCAGGCACTGCGCCCATACGCCTTCCCACAGGGAGGAGGGGAGCCGGGAACTGGAACCGTGCGGACTACATATCCCAGAACACCATGGATTCCAGACCGGGATGAGGGTCATGATATCATTCTGGGATGGAAAGGAAGGATGAATTGGCGGCGGCGATGAATTTAAGCGGACGGAAGGAGGCGTTTGGCAAGAAAAGGGAGGAAAAGGAAAGACGCCCACAGTTCCCATAATGCCTGCAGTAAAACTGCATTTCCCGTGGTGCTCCAGAAAGTGCGTGAGAAGGAAAAACTCCAAGTCCCGCGATGCTCTCGGCGACGGAGCTGGAACCGGAAGACGCTGCTTTGCTTTGAGAAGTGAAGAGACTGGTACTGAACATCCAAAAGTCCGATATGAAACTGGTGAGTTTCCGCTCCTAAGTCAGAGGGCAAAGGTAATGCTGTATCCGTTTGGATTCTGTGGTCTCCACCATGACTTGTGGCGGAGAAAGGTCAGCAGTTACAAAACTAAAGTGAGATGGACTGTGGCAAGCTGATTTTGCTTTGAGATTTGAATTCCCTCCTGCATTCACCCCACACTCCTTGCACCTGTCAGAATGTCTTCATTACTCTTTGGTAGGTCCCCTTGGCCAAACATGAAGTTGAAGGTTAATTTCTTCACCCTCGAGCTAAGGATAGACTCTAAGACTTTGGTTTGGTCGCGTTTCTCAGCTTCCACATGCGAGTTGTAACAGTTCATCCTCCTCCTTCCACTTAATGAGCGCTGGAGTGGACTCCGTACTTACGTTGCAGAGCCGGATTCGATCTGAACAGAGCGCAGGAGCTCATTAAATGTCTTGTTACTCCTACCTGTGCCGGAGTGTGCTCGTGAAGGATTTAGCCGGAGCAGCGTTGAAGCGTTCCAGTTTAGGTCCTGAGTGAAATAAACAGCTCTAGACGAAACATGCATCTTGGAGGAGTCACTGTGTGGCACAGCTCAAACACTTGGCGTATAGGCAGCCTTCTCAGATCTTTGCTTCGACAAGTTGCTTTATTCAGGCGTAAGTGATAGAGAAGTAAGGAGAATTGAAAGCAGGTGTAAAATGCTTGCCCTCAACCCCTTATGCCCCCATGTCCTCACTGCCAACTTCAGGTAGAACCCTCATAATTGCTACATGGAGATAAATGCCCCCAATGAGGAGTGAAGCCTGTTTGATAGGTTCTGTTTAAGAAGGAAGCGGTGTGCAAATGCTTCTTCCAGAACAACTTTTATGAGGGCGGCAGAGTTTATGTCTCTTTTGCTTTACTCATAAAATCCTTCTGCTTGATATACAAGGTTAAAACGGGAGGGGACCAAATGAAAACTTAGCCTTTACCTTTCAGAGCCGAAAGCTGACACCAAGAAAAGAAAGTATTCTAATTATCACCCCCCTCTCTTCGATTTCAAGCCAAGTGTAAATCCCATAATTAACCCTATAGTTGAAAGATAAGTGGTCTTTGATGGAGAATTGCTGTTCATACACCAAAGTGGTTTCAAAAATAGTTTCTCAGTAGGCTAAATTTGTGTGCTGTGCCTGCCAAAGGGTTTTAATAAATTTCTCATATTGTTAAGTTTTAACTCTGTGCACTGCTTTAGGAATGTGGAGTTGGCTGTGGTTGTTTGTTTTATATATATTGTAGGGATTGAGGCAGAATGCTTGCCTAAGATGCACACTGCATTAGGTTTGATCATCAGCATAGGGATAATGAGTTACATAATGAAACATGTACATATTATTGAACAAATTCTTGTTTTGAGATAAGACTTTCCAAAGTGCTTTTCCCTCACATGGCTTATGAGGTATAGCCACATCGCATCTTATTGATTCTTTTCCATTGATATGATTCTTTTCCCTTAATGAAAATTTCTTGAATTTTTCTTTTTTTTTCTGCTTTCTTACTAATACTGCTTTTGTAGTGGCTTCTTTCACTTGGCACTTGGAATTCAATCTGACTTTCTGTCCTGGTTAGTTTTTTGTTTTGTTTTTAATCTGGGAAGAGGAACCACAGTTGAGAAAATGCCTCTCTTAAGTCTGTAGAGCATTTTCCTGATTGATGATTGATGTGAATGGGCCCAACCCCCAGCTGCTGTGTATTCCTGTATAGGTGTTCCTGAAGCTGATAGAAAGCAAGCTCAACAAGCCACAGGGAGCAAGTAGTAAGTAGTGTTCCTCCGTAGCCTCTGTTTCAGTTCCTGCCCCGGGGTCCTGTTTGAATTCATGTCCTGACTTCCCATCAGGATAGCCTGTGATCAGAATATGTAAGCCAGCTAAACCCTTTTCTTCCTCATGGGGCATCGGAGATGCTTTTTTTGTCGTGTTCTGTTTGTGTGTTGTCTTTTGTTTTGCCTTGTTTGGAGACAGGGTCTCACTATGTAGTTCTGACTCTCTTGGAACTCACTATGTAGACCAGACTGACTTCCCAGAGATCTACCTGTCTCTGCCTCTCAAGTGCTGGGATTAAAGGTGTGCACCGCTACATTTAGCTTGGTCATGGTGTTTTATCAAAGAAATGGGAAACAAACTACAACACCTTCTAGACGGCCTCCCTACATTCAGTCTTAACCTCTTTATTCTCTTCTGGTGAATCTCAACATTGTTTTTCAATTGCAGAATTCCCTAAGAACCACCTTAGTAGCTGGTTTTGCCCTTCAGATAAACTCATAATCTTTAACTTGGTTGACTTGACCCTGGAGAATATGACTCTACCTGTAGTCTAAGGAGCCTTTGTCATTGATGTCTTTATTCAGATCGCATGGGTCGTTTTTCAGTTCTTTGAGTTCACTGTTTTCTTTTGTCTCTAGGAATTAAAGTATGTTCAATTACCTACCATATTTTGTCTTTTCTTATTTAATGTCTTCACATATTTGTTTCTTAAATTCAACAGTCCTGGTACATGTTTTCATGGCACACCTTCTATTTGTTGGGCTTATAGTTATTTCTTTGTGTTTGTCCTTCCTAATGTGGACATTGTATTCCCAGAGCCTTAACACATAGTTTGACTTTATGACTACATGAGTAATTTCCCAAAGCCTGTCAAGGTCTGGGGAAATGCTGGGAAAAGGTGAAAGGGTGAATTTGAGATTATAATAAACAATAACCTGAGTAAAAAATAATAATTTCTACTGTTTGAAAGAGTATTTTTATTTTGTGTGGGAGAGTTGTTTTGCCTGTAAATCTGCACACCAGATGCTTGGAGTCCCCATAGAGGCCAGAAGAGGGTACTGGATCCCCTAGAGCTGGAGCTATATATGGTTGTGAACCATCTCATAGGTTCTGGGAGCTGAACCCAGGTCCTCTGCAAGACTAATAAGTGCTCTTAACCCGTGAGCCACCTCTCTAGCCCTGATTGCTGCCTTTTGCAGAGCAGGCCCTGTGTGAACCGGCGGTGCACAAAGTGTTGGCGCAATACATACTTTGGTCTAGTTGATAGTATTCCATTTTACAAATTAAAAATGTGAGTTTCTGGGAAACGAAGGAAGACACCCCAAGTTAAAACAAATTAAAAGTGAAAAAGCAAGGTCTGAATCCATGTCTCCCTGGCTTACGAGTCTGCTGCTTAGTAAGGACAGTCAGAACACAATGACATCACAATGCTACATCAACTCTTGGAGGCATGCAAACAGAGATATGTTATATTTTAATTGGAGTTCGTTTCAGTTGCAGTCTTTAAAAGTACTGTTGACGTTGAACATAGTACCACACATCTGTAATCCTGTCCCTGCAAAGGCAGAGATAGAGGGATCTCAAGTTCCAGACCAACCTGAGATGGTAAGACACCATCTTACAAACTTGTTTACAAAACAATTAAGGTTTTAAAACCTCCTTTGTAGGCCAGGCAGTGGTGATGCATGCCTTTAATCCCAGCACTCAGGGAGACAGAGGCAGGTGGATCTCTGAGTTCAAGGCCAAGCCTGGTCTACAGATCAAGTTCCGGGGCAGCCAGGGTTCCACAGAGAAACTCTGTCTCAAAACAACAACAAAACCTCATTTGTAATCTAACAGGCCCCATGTCAGTACCAACTGAATGAAGCTAGTATTCTTCTGGTTTTTCTTTTTTGAAACTGAAACTCTGAATCACATGCTGGCCTGGACCTCACTACCTGGCTCAGCCGACCTTCAGCATGCAGTGGTCCTCCTGCATTCGGCCTTTTGGAGCTGGGATCAAGAGTGTCAGCTGATACTTCAGCTCAGTTGGCTTTTTGTTTGTCTTTCATGTGTTTAAATAGCTTCAGTGGTAGGATCTGCAGTTTTCTAACTTTGCACACCACTTTCTTTTTCTAAATATTTATTTGTATTTATGTATATGGGGGTGTGCCTGCATATCTGTATGTGTACCATATGTATTAAGGAGGCCAGAAAAGGATGTCGGGTCCTCTAGAATTAGAGCTATAAATTCCACCCAGTGTGGTTGCTGGGAACCAGACCCCAGTCCTTTTCAAGAGCACCACGAGCTCATAACCGCTAAGTCCCTTGCACACCACTTTCTTTTTAAAAATGTATTGTTTTGTGTGTATGAGTGCTTCCCCCCCACACATTCATGTCTGCACCATGTACATGCCTGGTGCCAAGCAGGACAGAAGAGGGTATTGAATCCCCAAGAACTAGGTTTGCAGACAATTGGGAGCTGCCATGTGGGTGTTGGCAGTCAAACCCAGGAGATCTTCTGGAAGAACAGAAGTGCTCTAACCACTGAGCCATCTCTCTAACTCCTTTCACACCACTTTCTTGATGGCTTTTCACACAAACACTTAAGACACTGAATGCCATTATAATATTTGAAGAGTTCCTAATTAGATACTAACTCGAAGGATTTAATGACTGCCAATATTTGTAATATTATACATTATTCTGGCAGCTTTGTTTAACAAAATAAATTTATTGGTATTTCCCACTAATC